ATGGCATATATAATGTTACCGAAAATACAAGAATGGCGGTATATCATTGCATATAAAACGTTTTGATGAAACAAAATTATACAGATAGCAACTGATCATTTTAGTTTACTTTTGAAAGAAAAAGTGGTAAAGAACGACATATGATGTATCATATTTAATTTGATTCGTTATAGGTATTGAGTACCAATAATCGCATTCGGTTCACTTTTATGATGCCACATTCGTAAGACTGAAAACAACCGATATACATAGTCGGTTCTTATTTTAAGACCGTCTTATCCTGTTGGAATTCGATCTCCAGATAGAATCTGTAAGATGCTAATACATGATTGGCTTATATGACACCTCAAGACTGTAATTAACCTTCCATCGAGCAACGTAAAATTTTTGCCCTTCGTTAGCAATTTAGGTCTTCAAACTTTAGTGCAAATTTTTATATGTTCCGGACTGTATAAAAATCTAGAAACTTCTTACATACTTGTGAAAGCTTTAACAAGTTTTTATTACCATCAAAGTTAGATTGTATTTTACTTATTTTTTACTAGAGATTTATCTATTAGAATTTACAATAAAAAAATCAACTGTGCCTTTATAAAGCATTGAGAAATCCGATGGAAAATTAAGAGTCTTAAATACAAGAACTCACTGAACAGCAGCCAATTTTTTCTCTTTATGCTCCTTTCCTGGTATTCTTTAATGAATTCAACTATCTATCCGAACTTGAATTTAATAATTTAGTCAGAATTTTGTACATTAAAATTTGCTTACTCCGGAAAGCGTGTATGTAATTTCTGACGTCACCCAAGAGCTTCTCTTCCCCACTGATTCGTAATACCATCGCTATCGAGTGAGAAGCACGCTTTGTTGCGCCTATGCAGCGCGCCAAGGAGACCCAAGTTTCGCAGTGAGAACACCCAGCGAGAACTGCCGTCACTTCCTCAACAGTTTGCAAGTAGCTGGCAAACATCGGTATCGACTCGCGCGTAGTTCGCGAGTACTTCTTTTCCGCTGCGTGGAACCAATCGTAAGCATGATATGTTTTCACATTATGTAAATAATACATCGTATGAGGTTGTAAATCTTTTTGCAACCGAGTTTAAATCTTGGTCAAAGAATAAAAAGGAAGCCAAAAATTTTTATGCAAGTATAACTATGTAAGTGTGTCTATGAGCAACAGGTAAGGCAATTTCGCTGATATTAAACGTAGAAAAGACGAAAAATGAACCGTCTATTTGGTTCACAAGAGTATTTTGTTACAGATAAAAATATATGCGATTAAATATCTTTTTATTGAAACCTTACAGCTTTCTTGCTGCAAATATTTTCGTTTGAAATTAGAACTTTCTGAAACATTCAGTCTGTCACACTTTAAATGCTTCTTCCTGCAGAAGACCTCTGTATGAAAAAAAATTGCGTGTCTCAGCGTCCAACGAGAGAGAAGACTGACAGGTGACTTGGCTGACTCGAATAAGGACGCAGACAGGCAAGGCAGATAGGAAGGAAGACCAGAGTAACTTAAACAGCGGCTAACAAGAAGTAGCAAGTCATAATTGAGTCGGGCAAGTATGGCGGGAGTCCATGTCGGTAGGTGGAAAGCGCCGCTGCCGACATACCTGACCGGAATTCGAAAACAGGGAGAAGTAGTTCTTCGGTCTCCGGGATGGTTTCTGTTAGTTCGTCGCCGATCGAATAGAGTACAGATGTTTCTCGGCATATTAATGCTAGCTATATATACTCAAATATCGGTCTTTGACCGCGGAAAGAGAAAGAGAAAGGGAACAACAGAAATAAAAATTCGGCATTTAAAAGAAACTTAAAAATCTTAAAACAGGCATTAAGGCCGATATTCGGTTCTTATTTTAAGACTGTCTTAAGTAATATCTTAATTGACAACCAGCGTCGACTCCTATTGCCTGTGATATATTTTTTATGATTTCATTAATTGTTTTAATTAAAGAGAGAGGAGTCTATAAAAACTTATTAATTTTATAGTCTATTGTCCCATCCAAAATTTCATGAGAAAAATCTGGACATTATCATCAACATTTTATTAAAAAATGGGTACTCTCTTAAATTAATTTTCACAACAATTAACAAAAGACTTTATAACAAATTTCAATAAGACCAGTCCTGATAATGAATGTGTGCTTACACCTGAAATTAAACGATTCTTTTTGATTCCATTTATTCTAGTCATATCAGAAAAAATTAAAAATTTTATTTAAAATATCCCTGGGTTAAAAATGGCATACAGAGGCATTTACAAATTGAGTAGTTTCATCAGAGCACAGAAAGACTCCCTACAAAAAACTTCACAGACAGATGTAGTCTACAGAATTAATTGTAAAGAATGTGATGCTTCTTATGTCGGACAGACCAGTAGATGTGTCAAAATTAGAATAGCTGAACACAGAAACCACATCAATAGAAATACGTCTCAATCTTCAGTCATTACAGAACACAAGCTCCAAATTTTAATTTATTTCATTTTATCTCTACATAGTTAAATTTGATTACGACAACTTTGCATTATTTGTTCATTTTTATATTGTCAACTTATAATTTATTCAACTTAATTTTTTATTTTTCTTGATTAAAATTCAGGATTGTCTCTCTGTCCAAATGTTCGGTGTACTAAATGTATTATTGTTGTTATTGACATGCCTGTTTGGAATTGTATCTCGTCTCTGGCTCGACTGTCTTTTCAGATATGTGCTTATTTCGTGTTGATATCCTAAAGTGACGACAGCGTTTTAGAAATCACTCGTCATGTAAGATATAAATTTTATACAAAGTTGATTTAATAGCAATTATTATAATGTTCAATCTTCTTTTCAAATCTTTAAATATTGTGTTGGTTTGTATAGTGCACCTTCTAATGTGATGACGGGATACGATTTGAAGCGCATATCATATTTAACATGATATTGATTCTTATGACATGTAAGTGAATTTTTCTTTTCTTGTCTGTCATTGTATACACCATACATACCGAAAAATTTCTTTGTATATAACATCCAAAAAAATTTTTTTACACTTTCTTAGTAATTCTACCAAGTTAATGTTAAATCCAAAACGACTGGATACAATCATCGCAGCGTTTCGTTACTGTTTGAATTATATTATTAAGGATTATTGTACTGAAGAGGACCCGAACCGGAGATCGAAACGTTTACGCTTATCTTTATAGAATTTCTCAAATAAACTGTTTTTTACACATGTTCACCCTATGTTGGCTCTTATACTACACTGTATTGGCATCATACACTACTGTTTAATTATTAGTTTTTATTAATTTATAATTTATCATTGCCTTAAGTAATATCTTAAGACGCTAATGCGGCCCTCTGGATTGATTTGACATCTCAAGGCTGAATTTAAGATGGTGTTAAATATAAGGTCTGACTATATGAATACTGGCCTAAGAAATTCAATGTGATTCCTATTAAATCAACGAATTTTTCGCGTTTTTATTCTAGAATTCTAGAATCGTATTATTCTATAATAGAATTTTCATGTATATAAATATTTCACGGACTTGTCTTTTCATTGTATAATATATACATGAGTGAAAAATGCTATTTGGGCAAAGCGGTTCTTCATGCCTAACGCTGATTCTATAATGAGTCGGTAATCGGTAGTCCAAAGGCTAATTCTACAATGTGCTTTTTGTTTCCTGTTTCTTGCTGTTTGTCTCTTGCCTTTTTGATCAAGAAGGCAAGAGACAAACAGCAAGAAATAGGAAACAAAAAGCACATTGTAGAATTAGCCTAAGTCTTATCGGTAAAGTTGACCAATAGCCAACTTGCATGACTAAGGCCCAGTTTCACAACTCACGGTTAACTCTTAACCGAGATTCAACTTATTTCTCATCTTTTTTCAATTCTAGAATTGAAAAGAGATAATGAATAAGTTGAACCTCGGTTAAGGAGGTTGTAAGGCAAATGCAATATGTTAAGAACTACTTGAAAAAATTACAGATTATTCTAAATTTTTTTTAAGAATAATACAAAAAAAAATAGAAACAATTGACCATCTGGATCAAAAGTTATTTAAATAAGTAGTAATATTTTTTAAATTTGTACTCTAATATAAATATATGAAAATGTATTATAAAATAATGATAAAAATCTCAATTTTTTTATATAAATACTCTAGGAATTCAACAATATTTTTGTAAAGTTATCTTGAGATGCAGACATTAATTGTTCAGTAAATAAATAAAATTTGTTATTTGTTATAAACTAATGGTGAATCTCAATGAAACTTTGCATAAGTCATGTTTAGTACTTAATATATTTATATAAAAACATTTAGATTTTTCTTATTATTTTAACAATTTTTGTTTATAACAATAAAACTAATAACAAATCAAATAAATAACCTATAAAAATGTGCTGCTCAATAAAACCAGAATGTTATGAACACAACTTTCACATGTATGTAGTTTGTTTAAAGCCAAAATATTAATATATGTGACGTCATAACTCAGTTGAATGCGCATTCTGACAAGTGAGATTTAACTGAGTTTTTGCCTATAATCTACACATCAAAACTGTGTGCTTTAATGAGTCTCGTAAACTCACTTCAATAAAAATGAGGTTATGAATCTGTGTTGTCATGTGATAACTTTTTACCAAAGTAAGCAAATAATGATGCCATTAATCTGAGTATGAAATACTCAGCTCACTTCAGACTCAGTTTCACTTGTGAGCAAAGCAACTAATATTTCTTGCGAATTTATACGATTTCCGGTTCAAGCTAACCGTGCGTCGATTATTTGTGTCGACTTAATACTGTTTTTATTATATATTTAATCTTCTGTTTGCAATCTAGATCTTTTTTGGTACAAACAAAATTTTTCGAAAATAAAGGAAAGCGGAGTCTGATTCCTTTATTATTAATTTAAACGTTTTGAAACAAATTTCAATTTTTATGAAAGATTTTTACATTTTATCATATTATATTTGTCATATTAAAAAAACGTACCTTTTTGTTGAAATATAAAATAGCACGATTCTTCGTGCTCGCGAAAGGTGAGAGCAAAAGAATCGGTGATCTGCATTTCGACGAGTTCCTTTTGTGAGGGGCTTGCGAGATGGAAACAGATAATAAAGGACACGCTCCTGCCGAGACTTGTTAAAACTCGGATCGTTCGTTAGAAGGCGCTCGTGTAGCGTGCTTTTGCTCGATCCCTGGAATTATCCGTTGGAGGTCAATGCGGATGACATTGAGGGGGGCAGGAGCCGGCCAGGGACCACCGATTCACGAACGATCGATGCGAAAATGTCACACGGCAATTTGATGCAGGGATACAACTGTAAGTATAACCGTCTTACCGTTCTCGCGGTTCGCCTCGCCAATAAAGTCGCGGATCCGCCGAGCGGGCATCGCCAGCACCGCATGAAAAATGAGCTCTGATAATGGCGGCTTTCGTTTATTTGACGCCAGACAAAACAAGCCGAGATCAGAGCCGCGAATCGCGACGCGTCGTGACACGTCGGGAAGATCGGTCGCGTGTCGTAAAAAGTTTTATGTAAAAATCGAGTCCCGATTTATTCGGAGAATGGAAAAAGTTAACACGCTATGTCGGTAAACATATCTTTCGGCATGCATCGTTCACGGTTCAAGGACGATTCTTAGCTTGTGGATCCTCTCGAGTCGTTGATGCCTTCTACAGGATGTCGTTCACAGTACGCTTCTTTTTTTTACTACATTTTCTTGTATGCGGCGGTACCTGATAATTATAGCATAGCGGAAACATTTTGGAGTAAAATTTTCTCAAATAGAATAAGAAAAAAAATATGCCAGTAATTTATAAATAGAATATACAGCTAGTAAGTTGATCAAATATAATTTCATTAAATATAATAGAATATATATGTATACACCTAATATGAATAATAGAAATTAATTTTATTTACAAGTATGACAATGGCAGATTTATTATATTAGATTATATTTATTTTTTTCTTGCTTCAGTTTTAATTATAAAAATATTTATTAATGTTTAATCCTGTAATCTGAGTCCTTTTGTTCAACTCAAGTTTTTTTTTACTGTTCTATGCTTTAAAAAAAATTCAGGGTTTCTGTTAAAAAAAAAATATTACCAGATAATTATTTTTAATTCAAATATTAAAATATAATGTTTAACTCTTTATTTACAATTGGAACCTTTTTATTCAACTCAAATTTGTTTATTGTTTTATAGTTTAAAAAAAATCAGGATTATTTAACATCTCTATTACACATTACTAAATTTTTTATTTCAAATAATAAAACTTTATTTCAAAAATTGAAATTTGAACAAAAATGAGGAAAATTAGAAATTTGTTTAAAAATGTATAACTTGGCAATAAGGAATCGAACTCTTTTATTTTGGAGAAATTTGAGAATTTCGCTTGTACCAAAAAAGATCCAGATTGCACGGAAGATTAGATACACAATTAGAGGAATGCCAATCTAGAATTTGACCTAATAATATATATATTTTTAGATGTATCTATTTAAATATACATCTAGAAATATTTTAAATGTATTTAAGTACATCTAGATATAATTTTAATATTTCGATTTTTGATATTTTGGAACTTTACATTATGTAATTATTTTATATTTTCTTATAGCCTAAGACTTAAAGCTTAGGAAATAGTTTATTGTAGAAAGCCCATTACACATAAAATGAGTGTCAATGGTGTACATGCGAATGTTGATATCGTTGATGCATAAATGGTCCTCTACATAGAAATCGTAGACAGTCGTGGAGTCTTAAGTCATAGGAAACTGACCAATTCTAATCGAGTATTTTCCTTATATTTGATTGTGATTGGTTGGTTTCCTATGACTTAAGGCTCCACGACCATCTATGACTTCTATGTAGAGGACCCTTAATTTATGAACGCGACGAAACTTCGAGATAGATGTTCACATGATGTAATGTCACCGTGTATAAAATGAGCTGTATATGTGTTGCGTATACTATACTGATACGACTGTATCACGATTATCTCGCTCGAGATGTCATCCGATTGGACGGTTATGTTATACCAAACAAACGAGTCTTTCCCTCATGAAGAATTTTTGAGCAGTAACAAAAGCGGAAGGTTCTCGATTAATTCTTCCACAAACAATAATATCGTAAACGTATTTCTTTCTCTCGAGCAAGAAAACATCAACATCGTGAAAGTATAGTATTTTTATTTTGTTTTGTCGAATTGCAGATTTTATGATTACACATCTATTGTTGTTAGAATTACAATGATGATAATAATAATGATGATATATAACAAACGATAAAAATTATACTTTAAGGCCCAGTTTCACAACTCACGGTTAACTCTTAACCGAGGTTCAACTTATTTCTCATCTTTTTCCAATTCTAGAATTGAAAAGAGATAATGAATAAATTGAACCTCGGTTAAGAGTTAACCATCAGTTGTGAAATCAGTTAACAATCAGTTGGGCCTTAAAGATGGATCAGTCTCAAAATACAGTATACATTGCAAAAATCATGTTTTTAACAAAGCATTCGGTTGTGTATAAATAAAATAATAAAATGCATCTTTATGAAATAAATAAAGTTACTTCGAAATATCAAATATGCTCCTCACGATACGAAGTGTCTGTACAGCACAACGTACCGTCGTAATTATTTTTAAGATAAAACAACAATTTCTCTACGGAATGTGCTTTTCAACTTCTTAGGGGAAACTCAGTACGACGATCCGCAGGTGCAATTCCCTCGTCCCATTCCGGACGAAGTTATCAGGTGAGCTCGCAACGTTCGCGTAAATAGTCAGCATAAGTACGGATGCGAACTACTTTCTTTGAATATCGGTAATACGAAGAAAAATATAATTATTGAATCGTACAATGTGATGTAAAAAGATACTTTTCTTTTTATAAAACCTAATAATGAGTTAGCGATTCTCAGGTTTTTTTAAGATGAATTTTAATACTTATAAAAAGTCTTAGAATTTAGTCTGCTGTAGTAAAAGAAACGATATGTTTATTATAATTTCATTATAATATTTTTAATAAAAAGCTTTAATAAAAATATTCCTCAATTTTTCTTAGATGAATTTTCTTGACAAAAATATTAGATCAGTGTTATAATTTCTCACTCAACAATATAAATGTGATGTAACACATGCTGTACATAAATTACATTGTTGAATAGAAAATTAACATTGAATAAACATTGATGTGCAATACTGTTAGTTTACTCGTTCTGTACATATAAAAAAAGTACAATTAACCTGTGTAGTATAGCAAATGTGCAATATGTATGACATATTGGTTGTAATTCTGCTCATTATACAATATAACAAACAAATAATATAGTAGGCTAATGAGAGTCAGCGACGATAAACGGCGCAAGTGTTATAATAATCAATCAATACTCAAGAAATGGATTGATGTCTTCTTTATTTGAACGTTTCAACTCTCTTTGGAGTCCTCCCCAGTAAAAATGATTTTCATTAGCCTACTATATTATTTGTTTGTTATATTGTTTAATATTCGAGAGTACTAATAATATTATTATTGTTTCTGCTTATTAATCCTGTTAATTTATGAAATAAATGCGGCGACTATATACAGCGTTTACGAGGTTTACGTGAAAGAAGACTCCGGCCCGGAATCGAAGAACGGTGATGTACCGGGTGTTTCGGGATTAGGACTCGTCGCTAATCATCAATTGAGCCAAGTAATCAATCGCTACAATAGTTTTATCAAAACTGAGAGTGGTTTACAACCGAGTAAAATCACTTTCAAGGAGGAGTATGTAGACCTGGGAGTGGATACTATAGATTCCGAAGTGATCAATATAGACAGTACCATCACGAAACTCGTGGGCAAGGACGCGTTAAGGTACAAAGTAAGTGCCAAAGTAAGGTATCTTAAATATTTGTCGAACTATTAGTGCGGCAAGTTGTTTGCCAAGAGTTAGTGCATATCGTTACGGCAGCAGTTTATATGAAATATTTTACCTGACGGACGTCGCTCCGTTTATCTAGTTTGCTCCCTTTCTTCTTACTTTGAAGAATGTCATTTACATACGCTCATTTCTATAGTTTTATGCTCCAGGTAATTTGCCTATCTACATCGCGATGCATAATTGCGGGAGTATTCTAGGAAACTGTATTTTTACATAGCATAATGCAATCCTTGAAATTGCATCAAGCTTTTGTGTGTATGAATTTCACATTTTTGATGCTAATTATGCATACATATTTCTTAGTATATAGAATAATACAATAATAGTTATTACTAACATAATATTTTAATAACAATAAAGATTGGAGCCTTTGATCATAATTATTTTACTATGCAATTATAATCATAAACATTAAACATTTTTTTTCTCACTGCACGATTTAACTTTGCAGTACTTTTTTATCGCAATTTGTAGATTAAAAAAAATTTTTTCGCTTTCGATATTTTCATTTAAGTAACTTTTTTAGATTTTCGAGCAAAGTGTTAACACGCCGGACAAGAATGTGGTTGTATATTCACATCCTGTTGCCGAAAGACCTTCGCCTCCGACGACCCGGCTTATCGACAAGGATGATCCGCGATCCAGGCTGCATTTTGTAAAATATCTAAAACGCGATGGGAAGACGCTCAAGATCTGGGAATGCGGTATTTGTACGTAATGCTTCTTGTCGTAATAATATCTGAACTTATTTAATTAATAAAAAATATTTCAAAATTTAATTAATAAAGAATATTTAATAAGAATAATTGTAATTCTTACATTCCCGCATTAGCCAATAATTAATGAAAAAATTGCACAAAAAAATAAATAGAATTAAAAATAAAAATGACAAATATTTTTTTTTCGAGGAAAAGTGTGATTTAGATTTCTCATTCGATTTCACAGTGTAGCGAGTAATTACTTTTTAATGTCGACGAAGGTCCGACAACTTGTATTCGTTATAAGAAACTTTTACGTTTGATATTCGAATCAGGTTCAAAAGAGTTTCGCCATCAGTACACTCTGATGAGACATTTGCCGACTCATACCGACGAGAGAAACTTTAAATGCGAGGCTTGCGGCAAGGCTTTCCGACAGTTGTCAACATTGAGTCAGCACAAAGCTATACACAGCGATGCCAGGCCCTATGTGTGCGAATTTTGCAAGAAAACATTTAATAGGTCGGAAATCATCTCTAGTAACTCTAAATTTTACATTTAAATGACAAAATGACTTCTGTATTGACTTGCATTTGGTTTTAAAATAATATGTATTTCACACAGAGTATCTACGTTAATCTCCCACCGAAAAACACACTCGGAACATAAACCGCACAAGTGTCACGTGTGCGGTAAAGGATTTCATCAAAAAGGTATAATACGTACAAGTATAAATTATGCAAAGATCCATTATTTCATATCGGCAGATTTTTTTCGCATTCAGTCGGAAAGAATTTCCGAATGAAATTCCGTTAAGTTTTCTTTTTGCTCTTTCTCCTTTAAATTTATTTATGTCAGTGATTTTATTATATATTTTTCATGTTGATTGACGTGCACAAAACATATGGCCATCGAAAAATCCAGCAATTAACGTTTTTCAGGCAATTTGCGAAACCATGTGTTCACGCACACGAATGAGCGGCCGTATAAGTGCGAGTTGTGCGGTAAAGGCTTCAATCAAATGTCGAATTTGGTCTGTCACAAGGTAAAAGCGCACGCACACATCGACAAAATGCAATATTCATGCGGAGTCTGCGGGAAGGAGTTCCCACGACGGTTCGCCTTGCGCTCGCACGAGGAGTACAAGCACGGTATTAAGTATCGAAGCACGAACAACGCGCAGTCCACAACGAACGAGCCAAATGCTGGGAAAAGGTACGTGAGAAAGAGGCTGTGACATGAAGCGCGATGTACAATGCATAACCATTGGCGTAATAAACGTATAAATGATCTGAAAAAATTATTGGAATTTGTCCGCCATCTCGAATGAATATCCATAGAATGCGAACAGAATTCCAAACTCATTTAATTAAAAAATATCGATCTCTCTATTATTGGTTGATATTTTTATTGGATATAAAAATAATGATTAAATATAGACGAATTAAAAACAATTGTAATTTTACAGGTCAATCTCCTGTAAAAGATATCTCTCTGAATTAGTTTATTTCTTGCAGAGGCTAGACGGACGATCAAAGCGCTTACATATTTAATTATTATTTCATGTGATGTACAATTGATTTAATTATAGATATCTCAATGCACACGATATGTGATTATATATTTTCAGCAAGAACGTTAGAATCATTCAGTTATACAATGGCGATCGGCGTCAAACAAGTGAGAGCAAAGAGAAAGATTATTTCGGCTCGGTTGGTATATATAAATTTGATTTACGATGAATACGTCGAATTACGGATTGTGTAATAAAGTTTTGACATTTTATTTCATGAAAGTCGGATTTGACGGACAGCATCGTAATAAACAAAATCGATACGAAAGCGATGGAAATGGCATTGCTGCAGGGTCAAACTCCTTTCGCCCTTTACAAACCCGCGAAAGGTATACCAGTACTCGTTAAAATTTCGTCCGCTGCGAATAATAAGCATGTAAGTATACTTGTAACATAATTAAATCTTTAATTGTCAACATAATTAAATCTCATCTCGGAAATTCAGCTTTTTAGCAAAAAAAAAGATAGGTGAGCATGAAAATTATTCGTATTATTTAAAAGATCACGCAACTCAAGACAATACGCATTGTCTAGAAAATCTCTTTATGATGTCTCTTTTAGATATCTTTTAGATATGTATGTCCTAAAAAACGTCTTTTAGATATGCATATTGTCTGGGAAGTAATATATGACAAAATAGTACAATAATATTACTTATATATTAGAAATGAAATTAATGAATCTATGTATAATAATCTACGTATATTATCCACAAAAAATATCCATTAGTGAAGTTAATTAAAATTTTTTTAATTTCTTAATATAGCTTATTATTTTTCCACATTAACTTGATGAAGATTGAAATTTGACTTTGCAAGAAAGTTAAAAATTTATATGTTCGATATTACAGCAAGTAGACTGCAAGTATATTTGTTTCAATTATTTTGCTATAAATAATTCTGATAGCTTCTCTGAAGCTTAATCCGTTACAATGGAATTCGTTTCAAACAATAATTCGTAGGTGTATCAATTAGCATTAATATCTACTGACATTAATGACAAAAATTACAATAATAATTTAATAATATTTAATTATTGGACGTGTTTAGTTGTCGTACTTGACAATTACACATAATTTATCACAGATACTTACACCTGCGACTGCCGATGATTTGCGAATGGCAGAAAAAATAACTTTGAATCCTACCGAGACTTCAGATGCTGACGGTAATAAAGCTGTTCAGGTGAAAGTACCAGTGGTTGCTACTGTGATGCAGAATATCGAACCTGATGGCAGATCTACCTTCATCGTCGAGCCTCCTGGTGCGGAACAGGAGCAAGGTAAGCTCTCTCGTCAATCTTGCAAGGCGAGACGAGGAAGAAGGAGACGTGCTCCTCTCTTTAATCTGTCGTCGTCAGATGATCTGGTGACAGCATTGGACACGCAGTTCTCTCCTTCCGTGCTCAATCGCAACGAGTCGGACCGGCAAAATGGCCTGAACTCAACTACGTCGATAGACGAGTGTAACGAGTTACTGGAACTAGCCGCGCAAGGTGGAATACAGTTTGTTCGCGCCACGGAGGACGGTCGTTACGAGGTAATATAGAAACGATTACCACATTCAACGATAAAGCTGTGTTAGCGCGCTCGTAACAGCACGTCCGTTAATAGTCACGTTTGGGGAACAGAATGATTGTTGGATCTCTTGTTGGAACTCTCTCTTGAAATAACTTTCCCTATAATTTAATTTAATTATTCGTACGGTATATTTTTGCGGGCTATAAAAGATTTAATTTCCTGTTGGTAACAAACTTACTATACGATCATATCGTTTAAATTAATATAATTAAAGAGCTCTAAAAATTAAATAATTAATTTTCATAAAAAAAATTTTACATTAATAGAAGCCATTAAATACCAAAGAAAAAAGTTTAAATAAAGTAAATATATAAAAAAAGAATTACATTTTGGGTTAAATAGATCCGAACAGACCAGCAGAGTTAAAATGAATTATCTATATGTTAACTGTGCTTCAAGTTCGATTACTGTGATAAACTTGAATAAAATCGAGATAAAGACAATTATTGATGTGGCGGGAATTTAATGTAAGAGTACGAATCCCAAGCTATAACATCGTCTTTCGACATCTTTATCTTTGAAAGGACGGCGTACTCTTCTTTACGCAGAACCGACATTACGCCGTCGACGTCTTTTCGATCGACTTTTCGACTTACAGTACGCGCGACACATTCAGAGTATTCACGTCAGGCGCCTTCATTCCTTTACATAGAGTTCTCTATTTAGAGAACTGCTGCGCTGCCGCGTTTGCGAAACGTGCTGTGTAACGTTCTCATAGGAACATATAGCTGGAATTTATCTTTGGCGCTTCTTCAAATTAACTGTAGAAACCCAATTAATTTTAGCCACTATATCGATAGACTTCAAATACTACAAGAGTTTTAATTAAATCCTAATTTCCATTGCAATTCCGTGAAGTAACTTCGAAAAGCTAATTGATTTTTATTGGTAAAAATTTTAAATTGATAGACAAATTCTACATATTTAAAATCTCAAGAATCCATTTTCGTTTAAATCCTCGGTTTAAATCTATCTTATTTTAATATAATATTTTGGATTCATCTCTATAATGATCGATGATTACGATTTGTAATTGCGATTTGTATGATTTTTTTTTTAATAGGAATTACCGTGGCTAGAAAATATTATAAAAATGTTTTTTTTTTGTATGCTGTATATATATCACACAGTTTGCCTTGTCGTAATAAATTATTCCGATCATGACGAAGCTTTAAACAGTTCAATGCCCTTACACACACGCGTTATGGCTGCAGGTCATGACGAACAGCGAGGCCCGCGACTTAATGGCGCAGAATTCCCACGACGTAACGATTCTTGACGGTGAACAGGCGGATGCGATCAATCTCGTGAATATACGCAATAATAGTGATGTCATCATCGGCGACAACGATAATCAGATCATGGTGCTGGAATCCGGCCAAAAGTCCAGTGGTATGTCAATGGACGACATCGAAGTTCTTGAGGATAAAGATATTAGAATTCTCGATAGTAAAAGCCTCGACGATCGTTTCGCGGATGGCATGTCATTTCTCTCCCAGACCAAAATCGACGATCTCCTGCTGGGTACCAAATCGCTGCCTATCGATGGCGCTCTTGCCGGGCACGATGGTAGGTGAATCGATATCGTAATATCACGATTTACAGAAATCCTTTAGGTGTTCGAGATCGTTGCACATTTTCTCAAGTACAAGTTAGTTTGAACAGTGCTTTTATAATTTAACTGTCCGCTGGCCAAGTAGACTTATGAGATGACGATATTTTGATGAATTTAGATTCGTAAAAAATAAGTAAAATACAATCTTCTTTATAATAGTAAAAATTAAAGCTTTCATAAGTATGCAAGAATTGTTTTAGATTTTTATACAGTAAAACAAAAACAATATAAAACATATAGTATAACAATATAAAACAATTTGTATTGAAGTTCAAAGTAGATTGCTGAACGGAAGGTGCAAAATTCCACATAGACGATGGAGAATTAAATAGTTAATAATTTTTAATTATGTTGAAAAAATATATCAGAATTTTTTTCAGATTTTTTAGAGCTCAAAAACCTTTTAAAAAATATAACTGTCTCTCAGTGACCCAGGTGGTCTGACTAACAATAAGTTGTGAAATTCGAAATAGTTTGCGGAGGTTTAATTAAAAAATCCGGATTAAAATACAAGAAAGAATAAATTACACATAGCAACGCCACGACGTTAGAAAATAGATTCGTTTAGAAATAGTCTTACAACTTTTGTTATTATCGATTTCAGTAATGACTGTGACATCGAACCAACAAGATCTAACGAGCATTTTGGGTCATCCCTCGAATCTATCTACTAGTTCGCAATCCTCGTTGTCATCTCTTTTCATGAAGAACCATACGCCATTATCGTTGTTGAGCGAGACACTACCGTACCTAAAGAGCAATCAGAGCCTTGCAGAAGATCTAAATATTCTTGGTGTCTCCCCCATGGAAGATCATCATTCGGAATACGATTCGAAAATGAAATTGTCGTCAGTCTTCGACGACGACTGCGATACTGGCTTAATGCCTTTTGGTCAATCAGACATGAAGATGCTCGACCCCGGAAGTCAGTGCATGAAGGTACAGTTAATTAAACATTGCGCGCGAGCGATGGTTATTGATAATTCACTATACATTTATACGACGAATTTTATAGTCTTTCAGTGACAAGTTTTGTTTGCCACCCCCGAAATTATATCCCGGCTTAAATGAGGTGAAGATCTTGGGACCAAAAAATCACAGCCATGAGTTTATGGCTCCGCACTATCAAGATACTAGATTCCTCAGTCCTTACGAACAGTTCCTCAAGAATACTTCCATGCAAAATGTTTGTATACCTAATATCATCGACGCATCGGAAGGATGTAAAAAGGAGGTGAAAATACTCGGTAAAAGACTCGGTACTGGAATTATTACTACGACTGAGGAAGGTGACATCGTCAAAGTTATCGATGACAAACCTAAATTTGTAAGTAAAATCATACAATTCTTTTTTTTTTAATTTTGTAAAAGATAATAAAGTAATAAAAATTTAATCATTGATTTATAAGCGTTATAACATAAATGTGTTTGTCTATTATAATTTATAACGAGATAAATAGCAGCTTCATTAACAAAGTTCAAGCGATCGAGACATTTTAATTATTTGATGAAATGTTTGCTATTTGATTGTAGGAAAATACATTGGACCTCTGCGACAACGTTTTGCAGCAGTGTACGACCATATCGCCTAGACGATTG